CTTTGGCGTGGTTGTATTAGGAGATGCCCGTGCCATGCTCTCGGATCTCCTCTCTTCTAGAACTGTGGTTTTTAAAATTTACAAGTTACCCAGACTCAGGTATTCGGCTGCATCAAAGAAATGGACCAAGACAGTCTATTTCATGGAGGATCCGCTTAACAAACTCACACCGAGTCTTCCAGGATGGGAGGAACAGCGCAGCTCCAAAAGGAAGGTCTAGCATTTGCCATGAGATGCCATCATTCGATCCTGTCAAGGATTGACAGAGCTCATCCTGGGACAGATGGGACAAAGGAGAAAGTTTTCTCCAGCCCCGGATCTCTTTGCCTGACCTCGAGGTCCCAGCTGGGATCGGGAGGCCCACATCGGCTTAGGAGGTTATTTCCTTTGATATACCAGAGCACGTGTTTATGGCAAAACAGCCAATGCTGCCATGATATGGAGCACACTGCACTGCCTGCTCACAGCCATGAAGAAATGAGCCTCTGCCTGAGACCACGGGCAGCTCACCTGGGGTCACGCAGATGATGCGGGGAAGGGGAGGCTGTGGCAGCTCATCTGACTTTCAGATCGCTGGAGCATGAACCCCGGCTGCAACATTATCAGGTACAAGGAACACAAGAACAGGGTGGCCACTTAACAGCTGTCATGCGGAGGCCTCTTAGGGGAAGTGCCATCTGGGCTGAGCACAACAGGGTGACTCACGCCTGGGAAAGGAAGGGTAGCTCTGTGCACACGAGGAACAGCAAAGGGGCTCCGGGAGCAGATGACAAGGTGGGGTTTTGATGAGCAGAGTCCAGGGGATGGAAAAGGGAAGCTGTTGAGAAGCAGGTCACACACTCACGGAGGCATGGCCCACCCTCAGCCTCCCTCAGACTTTTCTGAGACTGCGCGGGATCGCTGTCCGAGGTGCTGACCGTCTCCTTTGGCCTACTGTGGGAAATGGCAGCATGCGGAAGAGCTGGTACCCAGCAAGCAGAGGACGCTCAGAGCGCAGGAAGTGCCGGACTTCAGTGAAATCTTGAAGAAGGCTACGGATTCTCCAGAGACCCCCAGGAAACTGATGTGCTGCCCATAGGCTCGGCTTTGGGGCATCCTCAATGCTCCGAATCTAGACTCTAGCTGTTAACTCTCAGCCACTGACTCTTTGGAATAAAGACAGGTGAGCAATTCCAGGCACACCTGTGTTGTGAGAGCGGGGGCTTGTGTAGGGCGGTCTCTGAATTGTGCTGTCCCGCCCTGTTTAGACTGTCGGAAGCAGGGTAGGAAGGGGCCCGTCTCTCTCACAGCTGTCCCTCTGTTGTGTGCCCCGTCTCACCAGCTGCGTCTCCAGCTGGGAACCCCAGGGAGCACCCGGTCCAGGGCCAGATGTGGAGACTTGCAGACATCAGTGCTCCCCACTCACTTCCACACAGAAGGCAATCAAAGCCACCACTGGAAGCCTGGGTCTCCCTTTAGGGGACTGTGGGGTGCCCAGGAGTGAGGACAAAGGCAGTTCCCACTAATCCACAGCTGTTGCTGCACTCTGTGGATGCTAGAGATTCAACGCCAAAGTCACAAGGAGAAGCTCCTGTGCCCTCACCCAGACCCACCTCTGAATACTCCCATGGATGCTGGAACAGTGCCCCATGTCACCTGCCTCTAGAGCACCCAGAATCCCAGTCTCAGTGACCCTACCCTTGGCTACACAGCACTGCTCCTCCTCCCCCTTAGGAACAGATCATGAGTTGTGGCAATGGTGCATGAAGAACAGCATTTCCCAGCCTCCTTGGTAGTTAGCAGAGGCTGTGGGGTTGTGTTCTCACCAAAGCAACATGAGTAGAAGTGCATGGAGTGCTCCAGAAGAGTTCTTAATCCCCTCTCCTCATCCCCCTGCTGGCCGGAGTGCAGAATGGCGGCAGCCACTTTGGGCCCTGAAGCCCAAGGGATCTTGATCTGGGCAACTTCCCTGACTGTGACTTCGGAAGCATTGCCCTGTCACAATTCCTATGGCAATATTTCACTTCTACTCAAGTAAGTCTCCTTTCTCATGGCAGGAGTTGTGAGTCTTCCCCAGTTTTTAGGCACAGAGTGTCTTTTAGGTAAGGGTGGCTTCAGTAAATAGACCCGGGGGCTGGGACCTGATCCTCTGTGAACTAGGGGTAGGGACAGGTGAAATGCCTGAGGGACCAGCCGCATAGGTGGCACCAGCTCAGCCCCTCTGCATGCAGTCTTTTGCCCGTTCGTTTCTGCCCTCCACTCTGACTCTGAGCTTGGCCATGGGACTTCATTTAGCCAAGAGAATTTTAGGCTTGAAGTTTAAAAATCTACTTGTGTCTTCCTCTTCCTCTCTTGGAGCTGGGTGACCACCACGAGAATGTGCTGAGCTAGCTTGCTGCAGGATGAGCCACATGGAACAGGGCAGAGGACAAACTAGTTTAGCCAGTGACTAGTGGGCAAGTGAGTGGACTTCAGCTCACCCCAAGGAGAATTTCAAGGCCAAGTCCTATCAAGATTAGTTGATAGCCACACAGCTGGCCTGTAGAATTGTGAACGGTAGCAAATGCATTAGTTGAAGCCAGTGAGTTTTGAGGTTCTTTGTTATGCAGCATTATAGCAGTAGCTGACTGCTACAGAGTCCCCCTTTCTCCAACATTTGCAATGACGAGGGAAGGCATGACCTCCACAGGGCCAAGCAAGGTATTTGATGCCATAGCGCATGTAGGTTCCAAAGTTGAAGCCCCACTGCTGCGACTTACGACTTTTATATCCTTGCACAAGGAACTGTATTATCAATTCTGTTCCTGCTCTCTCTCTCTCTCTCTCTCTCTCATTCTTTTCCCTCTCTCTCCATCACTCCCTCCCTCTTCCTTCCTTTCTTCCTCTTTTCCTCCCTTCCTTCCTATGGCCTTAAAACAGGAATGAAAATGTGCTCTACTTTCTCTTCTACTTTTTTGGTTATCATGAGGATTGAACAAGCTAAGAGAGGTAAAGTACTGGAATGAAGTAGTTCTTGGTACAGATGAGCCTCTTGTCCATCTCAGCAGCCCACTTTGCTCCCTCCTGGAGGCCAGCATATCACCTCAGGCCCCTCTTTTTCCCCATCACCTGGCAGAATGCCCATCATGGTAATATCCACAGTTTGATCAATGTCTGGAGTGAAATTAATAGTTTTATAAATAGAAATGCAAATTTCAATTTTCTATTCCAACCTCAGGACAATATATCTTTGCTCTTTTTATAAAGTTTGGGTATAATATCGACCATGCTTCACAGCTGTACCTCTCCCTCCCTTCCTATTCTGCTGTGAAGTAAAACATTACCTTCTGCACCTCAGGCATTTACATGCCCTGCCCATTCCAACAGCACTTAACTGAAGCATTTCCCAAGAGCTCCTCCTGAGCGGGCTGAGAGGCATCCTCCCTGGTCAAGAGGAACAATGTTTCTGTGCGAGGATTCACTGTCCTCTAACAAGACCAGCTTCTCTCTAGAATCAGGTCTCCTGGGCTCTTTCTCAGCCACCTTCCTTTTCCTCCAGAGTCTCCACCTCTAGTTGGCACCAGAAGCCTGGCTTTGGCATGGTTTCCCCCTTGGCCACAGGGAAGTCACAAGGCCACGCACATCTTTCCCCTCCCAGTGTTCCACTGTGCATGGCCGGGGCTGCATGAAGATCACCTTGGGTCCAGCCATTATGAGACTCACTGGCAGTGAGATCAGGGCAAGGACTCTGGGAGGAGAGAGTGCCCTCCTAAACCCACCTCCAAGCAGGTGTGATTCTGTGAAGAGAGGGCCACAGTGGCCACCAGATAGATCTTCAGAGGCCTCTGCAAACCTCTATACAAAGCCATGGCTGTAGCCAAGCGATGTTCCCACCCCAGCAGCCTCAGCTTCTATCCCCACAAGATGAAAGTGACGCCAATGTTCTCTGACTTCACTTTAAAGAAATGTACACAAGAAAATAGACCTGAACCATAACCTGCCAGATAAATACAAACGTAGGCCATGATTGAAGTTTTGCTCTACCATGTGCTGATTTAGGAAACACTTAGGAAGGATGAGTTTTAAATAAAGCTGCACGAGTTATACATAATTCTTGATGTTTTTCCTTGGCTGTGAGCACTAGTGAAATTTAGGTTAGTGGATGGCATAGAGGGTTAAAAAAAACTGGAGAGTCCTTGGGGAAATGATAGCAGATGACAGTGTGAACCTCATGTGCGCTGCCTAGTTCATCCCTCACAACAGCCCTTATCCCTCAGAATAGCCCGATAAGGGGGTTTCTGTCATTGCCTTTTTATGGACCAGGGATCCCTGGCTCAGAGGTTAAAAGAATTGTCAAAGGTGAGAGGGAGAGCTTGTAGTAACCATGGGGCCACAGCTGAGAGGTGGGAAATGGGCGGTTCACTTGACACTGCACCTCTCTAGGCAAAAGGAGCTCGCTTTTTCAGGACTCTATCGAGTGCCTCTGGTTCCCAGAAGTTCTGCTGGACTGGACCTGGCTCTCCACCACCAGGGGGCTGAAGGGAAGTCTCCGAGGCCACCCCAGCCCATCTCGAGCCTCAGTTTCCTCTTCTGAAGATGAGTGCACTTCTGCCCCCCTGGTAGGGGGCTGGGAACGTCGCAGGGGTCAGTAGGTGGAAGCCTTCAGTCTGACGCCTGTGCGACAACAGCTTCATTCCACGCCTGACTCTTTTGCATTGCTTGTATGTCAGCATTAAGCCAGGAGAGGGTGGCATAGAGAGGAGAAGGGAAGATGACTGCCATGCCCCTTGGCCAGGAGGAAACCTGAGTTACATTATCTTGGGGGTGGCAGCAAGCAAGAGGCTGCCTGGCTGGCCTCCCCAGTCTCCCTGGTGGCCCCCAGTCCCTCTCTGCTCCCCATGACAGGGCCGCTGGGAAGGTGAAATGAGGAGGTGTCCCATGGTGTTCACGCTGCCCACAGAGAAGAATCAGGGTGATGCCCAGGTCTCAGGATGGCCTGATCCCAACCAGGCTGCAGTTGTGTGACAAAAGGAGGCCCCTACCTTTCATGGCTTCTGCCTCATTGTGCTTTTCAAAGAGCAGGTAGTGTGGGCTCTCAGGGAGAAAGGGCAGGCTCACCAGCTGGACAAAGGCGGGGACCACGATCACCCCAAACAGGTACGGCCAGGTGCTTTCCTGCGGAAGAAGAAGATGGGTCACGTGGAGGAGCCTGGGCCCCTGGGCCAAGCAGCTGTGACTGCAGAAGGCTCCCTGCTGGCAGATCCCAGGGGCCAGGGTCCGGGAGGGGACCGAGCTGCAAGGGCATTTCCATGCACAGGTGAGTGCCCCAGTGACCTACGGGCCACTTAGGGTGTTCCAGGGTCACTGACACCCCAGGCTGTGGGGCACTATGGTGAGCCCAAAGGCATCCTCAGATCTCTTCTCTCCTCAGCACAGCCACTGCCTGGGCTGTCACTGGCAGGAATCTCATGGTGGCTCGAGGGCAAGACCCGCACACAATAGGTGCACAGAGGGGAAGCCTGGGCCACCAGTCACTGTGGGGCCACTTCTCTTGCATCAGTTACACTACACACCAAAAGAAAGGTGGCCAGAGCTCTCCCAGGGGCACAGGACTGGGGTGCAGGCTGCCCTTGGGCAGGGTGGGCTTCTTACGTTCCAGGGCACTGTGAGGGCAGTGGGTACTCAAGGGGCTCTGGGACTCCCTTCAGGTGGGGAATGGTGACAGTCACTTTCAATGCCCAGTGTAGAGCCCAGTAATGATGCCCATTGAGGTGGTCTTCCCCCTGGTGTACCTGTTTCTCACCCACGTTACACCTAAGCTCTCATTATACAGCTAGAAGAGGATAAATGGGTCCCTAGCCAGAGGCTCCACGTCAAGTTCCTGATAAGCTACTGGTGGCAGAGACCCCGTGCAAGTTCCAGGACCCTGTCAGGGTGGAGCCTCAGGGACCCAGAGGTACAGAGTGGGCCGGAAGGGGCTGCTGGAAGGGGCTGGTCCAGTCCTGGTCTTCCCCGTGCCTTCAGTCCTCCTTCCTGAACCCAGAGCTGGTGTCTATGCATATAACGCTGCTGGGTCCCTTGGCCAGCACAGTCCTGACTCTGCCCCGTGAAGGGAGGGCAAGGTCATGGCCAAGGCCTGCTGCTTGGTTGGGGACCTCAAGCTCAAAAGCCAGAGCAGGAGATGGAAAGCAAAGGGATTTGGGGCTGGCAAGGCCAGAGGGAGCAGGTAGCGGGGTAGGAGAGCTCACGGGGTGGGGCTTCCTTTGGGCCAAGGAAATGTCTGCAATTCCATAAGGCCAGTGGTTGCATGGCTTTGTGACTATGCTAAAAGCCACTGAGCCATGCCCTGTAAAACTTATGGTATGTGGATTGATTATATCTTGATTAAAATTTTATAAACTGTAGAGGGGATGGTGGAGTCAGCATTCTGTTTTAGTGGGCTGCACAGCAACCGGCATGGATGAGAACAGTCAGAAAAGATGACCTCTGTCTCGACCACGTGCGGGTGTCCTTCTTGTCATCAGTCCCTGAACGGTAAAGCATAGTGACTACGTGCGCAGTGTCTGCATGGCACTGGGTGCTATGAGTCATCGTGAGGTGATTCAGTGTCTGAGAGGAGCTGCACACACTGTCATCCCAGCAGTCAGGGGCTGAGGCAGGAGGATCACAAGTTCAAGCCCAGTCTGGGCTACTTGGCAACTTAGTGAGACCCTATCTCAAAATAAACAATAGTAAGGGCTGGGGATGCAGCTCAGTGCAAAGACTCAGTTCCTAGTACTGCAGCAAACAACAAACAAACAAACAAAAACCCCTCTATCTCTATTTCTGTCTCTTTCTACCTCGATCCCACCTAACAGCAAATTTGGGGTCCATAGGGACCCTAGAACCAATGCCCCATGGACAGAAGGGACGACTGGATAGAAGTGTGATCCCCCCTGCTCCTCTGTCTGTGTTGTTTGCTTGCAGTTTGGTTGCTGTCTCAGAAAGAGCAAAACCAGGGGGTAGAAAAGACCAGGGAAGCCAGTGGAGCAAGCCTGGCCTGTGTGTTGGGACCCTGGGCCTGGTGCAAGTGCATGCAGGCATGGTGTGAGTCTGGAGTGGGCTGAGGGGTGAGCGACCGCTGCACAGTGGAGGTGCGGCCAGGGCCACCTGTGCCGGGGCGTCTGGGCCCAGTCTCTTCCTGTGTCATCACGACAGAGGGGACTGTATCCTGGGGCTGCCACTGGGTGGGGCAGGGAGGAGAGGATCTAGAAGGGCACCCCAGAGAGGTGGTGTCCACCCAGGTCCACCTGGACGGCGGTGGAGGAGGGGAGGTAGGGTTGGGGATGCTGGTGGTGTAGGAGCTGGGGCTGGAGTCTTGGGCTAAGGCCGCTTGTGGCAAGGTTGCTGCCATTCTATGGCTCCTGGGCTTGGCTTGAGGATGTCAGGGAACCTCTAAAGGATGAACACTCAACCGAGAGGGACACTGCTTCCTTGTGAGTCAGTGTTTCTGGGCTCCCAGAGACAGTGGGTACGCTGAACACTGCATGACATCCCGGCCCATTTTCTGTTACAATAACAAAATGCCTGAGAGCTGTCAACTTATAAAGTTTATTTGGGTCACGGTGCTGGAGGCTGGGAAGCCCAGGAGGGCCTCGTGCTGGGTCATAGTGTGGCAGAGGATGCCACAGGTGAGATAGAGTTGGCGTGACAGCTTGGCTCCCTCCTCCTCCACTGACAAAGCCACGGCCACCTTCCCAACCCCATCTAGTCCTGATCACTTCCGGAAGCCCCTCTTTTAACACCATCAACTTTGGGGTTGAATTTTTGGGACATGGCTAAACCACAGCACAAATTTATCACTCCTGAGAGGCTGTTACCGACCCAGTGTGGTGTCTTCATTCCGGGACATGTGGGACCCTTCCTAAGTGGGGTTCCCTCAAGGACCATGGTGTGCTTACCACCTCTGGAGGGAAGGTGGGTGCCGTGAACCCCCAGCCAGGGAGCCTTGGCCTTGGACACTGATGTTCCCGGACCAGGCCAGGAGAAGGTCACGGCTACTTTTGCAAATCTCAGAGCCTGGACAAACAGAGCTGAGCCAGCAGTGTGCACATGACTTTTTCAGCGAGAGTTCAGGGACTTCCTGGATGCACTGGTGGGCCCTGTGCAGAAGGGGAATCCCCTCCCTCACCTTCCGCTGAGAATGGGGAAGGGTAGGTGGGGAGCTGAGTGCCCAAGGAGGAGCATTTGCACCCGTCCTGTAAGTGATAATGATAACGCGGTCACAGCAGCCTGCATAGGCAGGACGAGTGCTGCCCACTTACAGAAGTGTCCTAACCGTGAAGGCACAAGTTTTTTTCCCAAGAAGGACGGCAAAGAAGACGCACCGCCCTTGCCATTGCTGAGTCAGAGCTTGCAGCCTGGCCCCGGCCACCTCATGAGTGGGGTTTGAATTACACCTCTCTGCATCTCACTGTGGCTGTGGACGTGCTCCCAGAAGGCCTACACCCGTCTTCTTGTCTGTAAAGTGGGGGTGAGGGTACTGCCTCCCCACAGGATGCTGGGAGGATTAAGTCAGTTAATAGACACATAATGTGCATGGCACAGGGCTGTTCACACTGCAGCCGGTCCACACGAAAGACTGGACAAGCGCAGTATCTAGGGCCAGGGATTTAGCCCAGTGGTGCCACCAAAAAAAAAAAAAAAAAAAAAA